AGGAGAGGACGCGGTGCAACCGCTACAAGACCCTGCGCTGGCGCTTGGTGGAATCGCTGGAGGCGCCCCGCGTGGTCCACGCCCGCAGCCCCGACATGGTCGCCAAGGGCAACCTCTACGGCCAGGTGACTGTCCGCATGCACTCCAGACAGGTGAGACCGGCTTTTGAGGTGCCCGGCGATATGCGTTGGCACGGTTGCGTTGACGCCGCGTCCGCCCGCAGACTCTGGCCATCTACGACCGCTTCGGACGGTTGATGCTGGGCGGCGAAGATCAGCCCAAGGACGTCTTGGAATATCTGGTCATGGAGCGGCACCTGGTCAACCCCTACGGACGCTGGCGCCTCCACGGGAAGATTGTGCCGTCCTGGGCGCCCGCCAAGGACCCCATCGTGAAAGTAAGCGCCGATCCTCGCCCGCGGTCGCTTCAGTTCAACCCCCCGAGGCCGCTTTCCAAGTTGAGCTCCGTGTTTCTAGACCGTCGTCATTCCCGGTCCGAAGCTAAAGCCCGGCGAAGAATTTGATCCCCTCACCTACCGAGTTCCCCAACCCGAGGCGGTGCAGTGGTCAAAATAAGCCACCTTGGCAGCTGCACCTTCCAGCCACAGCGGGACCGCCTTCCAAGTGCAAGTATGTGTCTCAAAGGCAACTTTCGGAGCACTTTTTGGTTGCTCCCTTTTCTATTCGTGCGTCAAGAAAAAAAGCCAATAAAAAGGACGTTCAGAAACGCAAAGGATTCTTTCGTTTGACGACGCCGCGTGAAAATAAAATGTTCCCGGCTGCTCGATTTGAAGTGAGGCAGCGGTGGCGACCTCGGAGATACATTTGAACCGGGATGCGCGCGCTTGCTAGGAACGGGCAAGCTTAGGAAAGCTCCTGTACGATGAAACGGTTGCGATCATCATGTATTTGTATGGCAAATGTGCTTTTCAAGTATAGTTTTGGGCTACAGCTGTCCAATGTTTACCGGATATTCTCCTGAAAATGAAAAGTGACATGGGACCCACGGTCGCGCTAAAACAACACCTTTGAGTCAGCCCGATTTGTCAAATATTGTTCGATGGGAACTGCAACTCTTATCAGGTTGTCAAAGTCCTGCTTGCCGATAAAACCGCGATAGTAAATACTAGTCTGGTTATGTACACAATACAGAACAGGACTTTTTTGTTTCTCACATCAATTCTTCGCATGACACACTTTAGACATGAGCACTACAGACCACAGTAGGACATGAACCGCGCCGCACTACAGAGGCTCAGCGTGAAGGGACGGGCGGGAGCTGGAAGAAAGAGGGTGAAGATGACCCTTGTTTGCATGGCCGCCACTTTTTGGAGTGAACTTCACAAAGGGGATGGACGGGGGTCAGTGACGTCGCGAAAAGTCAAGTTTGTTTCACCCGGCGCGCGGGATTTTGCGAAGGTGACGGCACAAATGCGCCATCGGAACGGCCTCCGCCAAAGCATCGCGTGGTGTCGGCTCCCTCGCCGTGGCGGCAAAAGGGGCCGTCGGGTCACAAGTCAGGAGGGAATATGAGCGCTTCTGCGGCGCATTCGGCATCGTCGTCTTCCTCGTCTTCCTCGGGGATGTTCTCAGGCTCCCATGTGAAAACATCGGAGTTGTTGTCCGTGAAGGATCCCGAGCCACTTGGATCCATCTCCCAGGGGCACAAGGCGTCGCGGCGGCCCAGCGCCAAGCTGGCTTTCGCCTCGTCCGACGGCTCCTCCGACGGCTCCTCCGTCTTTACGGCCCGGTCTTCCGGTACGTTTTCTTTGTCGCCGGGACAATCCCGAGTACCGGGGTCGCTCTGGTCTTTGATCCCTCTCGCTGCTCCCGTTTCCCACGGGCAAACCTGGGGACGTAAACTTTCTTGCTTTTCGAGCACTGCGGTGTCCTCAGTCTCCCACGGGCAGACGCTAGCCCGAGAGCTGTCCTGCTTCTTGAGAACTTGAGCTGCTTCTCCCGCCACGTCAGATTCAGAACTGTCTCCCTGTTGCAAATCTTTGGGGTCTTCCATTTCCCATGGGCAAACGTCTCCTCTTGTGGAATCGCACCCCTTCGCAGACATTGGGTCTTCAGTTTCCCACGGACAGACGCTTTGTCGAGAGCTGTCCTCCTGATTCAGAGCTTTTGGTTCCTCCACCCGGCTTGGACAAACTCTTTCTCGCGAACTGTCCTGTTTCTTCAGAACCTCTGGTTTTCCGGTCTGCCGTGGACCAGTGTTTTTGCGAGAAGTGTCCTGCTTTCCCAGGGCCTTTGGTTCCTCTTCCTCTTTCTCCCATGGACAAAGGTTTTCCCGAGAAGTGTCCTGCTTTTTCAGGACCTTTGGTTCTCCTGTCTCCCATGGACAAAGGTTTTCCCGAGAACTGTCCTGCTTTCTCAGGACATTTGGCTCATCTGTCTTCCAAGGACAAACATCTCCGCTTGTTTTGTCTTGCCTTTGAGCAGAATGTGCTTGTTCCGTCTCCCACGGACAAACACTTTCTCGAGAACTGTCCTGGTTTTTCAGGCCCTTTGGTTCTTTTGTCTCCCAAGGACAAACATCTCCGCGAACGCTGTCCTGCCTGTGGCCAACATTCCAGGTCTCGATTCTTCCTCCATGCGATGCCCCCATTTCGACCGTTGCGGTGTCCTCACTTTCCCACGGGCAGACTTTTGAAAGGCCGCTATTTTGTCTGCCGTTTTGGGGCCAATTCAAGAGCTCTGTTTTTGCGGACTCTGACGTTTCAGTCTCCCAGGGGCAAATATTTCCTCTCACGCTTGGTGCCTCTTTTTGGGCATCCAGGGGCAAGATGGCTTTTTGTGGGGCCTTCAGTTTGTCCTGTTCTCCAGCATCCCTGGGACAGATATCGGCCTTGATTGTCATTTGCGAAGGGGAGACCCTTTGTTCTGCTTCCCCGTCCTCCAGAAGACGAATGTCATCCATCATTTTTGGCGAGTAAGGGAAGTCCCACTTACAACTTTCTTCCCTCTCGGCCATTCTCCGCTCCAGATGCAGAGCAGGAGATTTAGGAAGCTGGTCTTTTGACGCCCCGGGGAAGACGTCAGCTTTTGTCGCTTCGTGCCGCGAGGGTACCTTGAGGGATCCCTTTGTCTGCACAGGATTTAGGTTCTCATACACAGTCTCCGTTTCCCAAGGGCAAACGTCGGCATACTTGCTATCTTGTTTGATGACGGGTACGGGAGTTTCTGCCGCCTCCCAAGGACAAACGTCAGCGGATCTCTTCAGAGACAGTTGCGTCTTTGGCGCTTTGACGTACGAACGTTCCGGGAAATCCTGGGACTCCCATGGACACACATCCCCCCGGCCACTGTCCTGCCTTGTCACTGTCTCTTGCTGTTGAGATTCCCAAGGACACACGCCGGTTCGTTGGGATGTTTCCGTTTCCCACGGGCAAACGTCTGCTTTCAGGCTATGGTGCTTCTTTGCCGCCTCCACAAGTCTGTCCCGTGGACAAGCATCTGTGTTTGAGACAGTTTTCAATACCGGTGCTGCCACTCGTTTACTTCCTCTTCTGTGAGTTGACGGTGTCCTCGAGCTGCAGGAGCTTATGCTGCTTCGTTTACTGCTCTGCCTGGACGGGTATAGGTTTTGGTGCGTTCCGTCATCCCCATCTACCGGATAGATGGCCGACCTGACAATCACCAACCTTCTGGGACTCCTGTCAGATGAATCCCCAGAGGACAGTCTGATGGCGTTCTGCTTTACGAGGCATGGTTTCCCATCTGCGGTTGTCATGCTTCTCTTCTGCAGCGTCCTCTTCTCCATGCTTGGACGCCGACCGGACGTTGCCGACCTGGATGGCGTCGAGCCGCTTTCTTGGCTTTTGTGGTCGCCCTCTCTATTTAAGGTTTCATCCTTGCTCCATTTGCCAGCCGCTTCCACCGATGCCAGGATGGATTTAACAGAGAGCCACTTGGTGGTGGTGTTCCGGAAGGAAAAAACTCGCTGTTCTTTGTTGGCTTTGGGTCTAGGAGACCCCGGTGCACTTGCTGAGACTGGGACTTCGGGGCACTCGGCGTCCCCTTTGTCTAGCGACAGGTCGTTCTCCGCAGGCGGTAAATGGTCCCAGGGACAGACGAGAGCAACCGGCGAGGACGGACTTTGCGGCTCGTCTTCCGGCGAGTTGGCGTAGGTGACACGCTTGTGGCTCTTCTCGCCCGATTGTTCCTGCGCCACCTCCCAAGGACAAACCTCAGCCTTGTCAAAAGACTCCGACTGTAGCGCACTCCTGGTCTGTTCGCCAATGGAGAGGCTGGATCCGTTGCCCTTGGACGTGTTCTCCATGGAGTGAGTGGATGTGAGACTCCACGACTTGTGAAGCCTGGTGTGGTCTGGGAGGTGCAAGAAATTGGCATCGATGGTCAGATTTTGGGCGCTAACCGATTTGCAGACTGCCGGGCGCATCTCGAAAGAGTCCGTCTCTGATCTTTGGGAAGATCTTTTCACAACGTTGGCCCCGAGCCTGGAGGAACCTCTCAAGGAAGAGTCCCTCTCCCGCATGAAATAATGATCGCACTGGGACTTGCGTAGCGATGGGGATCTGGACTTCATGGAACCCCTGATGCTGAGGTTGTCTGGGGTTCTCCTGAAAGACCCGGAGTGATTCCTGCTCCGGAAGGATCCGTCTCGGTCCTCGCGACTGCACCGCCGGCTCAGCGGGATCTCGGCGAGACGCTTGATAATTGATCGACCCAAGGCGCATCGAGAACTCGGCTTCTTTGACAGGTGAGGGTTGTTTGCCGTCATCTTTTTGGCTTTGTTGACTTCCAACTGGGCGTATAATCTCTTGAGCTCATCCTGGTGAGTAGGAGGGAGGGTGAAGAACAATGTTTTTGGGGGAGCGGGGAGAGAAAATGAGAGTCCTGTTCATCTATGAGGCATTTACGGTTTTGCTCTGCACGCTTTCATATTTTGAGAGGTTTCATTGCTCAGGTTGAACTCGACCATTTGGAATGTCTTTCTGTCCTGTTGCGAAACGACAACTTTCTCAATTTACCCGAAAGTCATCGGGGTCCACACTGCGCTCGCTCCACGCCGAGCGAAAGCTGCTGTTGAGGTAAGAACGGCGCAGGTCCACCTCGTCCTCATACACCTCGGCGGCGATCTCCTCCCTGCCGGCTTTGCTCGTGTGCAGGAACTGTGCGGACAGCGGAGACAAACGGGAGAGAATTTCATCTCATTTGATGTCTTTTGTTGCTGCCCCCAACCCTCCAATTTGAAAAAAGATCAACTCGGTGTTTCCGACTGTTTTGAATAGATCGACACCAACTCCACATTATGTTTTTGAAAGATGAACTTCTCCGGCAAAGTGCGACTGGACTTCATGCAGATCAGGTCCTCCCAACCATTTTACACATGCAACAGCAACTGCACCCCACGTGGTTTACGCTCCCTACCCTTTTAAACGGAGGAACTCTGATAACTTGAGTCCATGCGGTTTACACTCAAGACTGCTTTGAAACCAATTGAGCCGAACTTCGTTTGATCCTTGAAGCTCCACCCTGCGGGAGAGAATTTCATCTCGTTTGATGTCTTTTGTTGAGTCGAACTTCGTTTGATCCTTGAAGCTCCACCCTGTGTTTTAAAGCGATCAAATGTCCCCACGGGTGCTCTTTACCTTAGGGATGAAGATCAGGCCGAGTGTCACGGTGACGGTCACGTGGGTGTGCGCGAAGGAGAGCAGCAGCATCCAGTCGGGATGCAGAGAAGGAAACGTAAACCTGTGGGTGGCA